TTACTGTAAAAGGGACCTTCAAGAGGTCTACAGAAAATAGTACCTATAAATTAATAATATATTTTGGACTCATTGGTTGTTTTAACAAGTTGGGAAATAAATGCCAGTAGATTTTTGAACTGAAAGAGGTCCCCTTTCCCCACTCCCCCCAAAAGAATTTGCTAGCTATAGTTTCCATACCTATGATAGGTTAACATATTTCAGGGAATTTCTTTTTTTTTGTTTTTTTCTGAGTATTGCCCTGGCAAATAAAAACAAAAGCATATAATAAACAGCAATAAAAAAAATAAAGTTCGCACACAGAATTATGACACCAAAGCCATGTGACTTCTCAGCTTGTTTGGCCTACTAAAGTGTCGCACAGACCACTTGGGAGGACAGAGATTGGGGGTCCCTTAACACAGAGTCACGGAGGAATAAATAGCACGAGTGCCCTGGAGAGGAAGGAAGCACAGGCTGTGCTGCACGTCCTGCGGTGAGCATACATCACACTGGCACTGTTGTGAAAACTGCACAGTTTTCAAACTGAAGCTCAGGCTGTTTTTCTAACTCTTCTTCCTCTGATCAGTTGACAGACACTCAAATCCGAAAAATTAGTCTGTCAGAGAAACAAAAGCTATGTCGCTGTTTTCCTGCAAGCCTCTGGACCAAAGCAGCTGGCAGGAATGGTGCTCCCTGCATAGGTGTCTGGCAGCATGTGTGTCTGGCTGGTAGCTCTGTGGTCATGAGTCCCCTGCAACACGGCCTTTCAATAGCAGGTAGGGCTGAGTGATGTTCTATCACCAGAACTGTGGATCAGATGAAATTGGTAGGCCAAATCCAAAAGGCTCTGTGACTTAGCTCAAACATACAACTATCTTCCAATTGGGAAAAGGGTATTTTCTTTCTTAGATACTGCAATTATAAAATTAATCATTTTAGCTTGAATTTTGGGAAGTAAGCATATTTTGTTAAGGTTTATGAGAAGTGTATTTTGTTAAAGTTTACAAGAGTTGCTATGAAACATGATAATTCATTAAAAAAAAAAAAAGAGAGACAATGTTGTGTTTACTGGGCCATGGATGGATGAATGATGTCACTAATAGGCAATTATAACATTCTGCATTCCAAAACGATTTAATAATTTGTTTTGAAGAAATATAGCTTCCAAAAGAACAAAAACACAATCTAAACATTTATTTGGATGCTTGCATGGCAAAATAAAAATAAATACATAAAATAAAGAAATTAATCCCAATCTAAAAAAGCATCAAATATTTAGTCGCCAATGTTAACATGGAAGGAGATTCAAACGTTTATCAGTAAATGAATTGGTTGGAATACTCAATGCATTTCCCATGGAAAAAAAACATTTCCCATGTAAATGTTATAGATGGTGGTTAGGCTTCTAGTTACAGCCACAAAAACTAGGTTAAATATTAGGTACATGTATGGCTGTAAAGACGAATGGTGAAAAGACCAGAACTTTAGAGAGTCAAAGATTCCTGGGTCCTGTCTGGCTGTGTCCTTCCCCAGCAGTATTTCCATAAGATGCTATGTCTTGCAGTCTCCAGCCAGAACAGCTGCCTCTGGCCTGGAGCACACCAGGACGCCTGACAGCTGGAACATCCTGTGGCGGGAGCCCTGTCATGTCCTTGCTAGGCTCAGGTGGGTGGGAGCCGAGTCAAAGAGGCCTCCCCTCTAAATGGCATTGATGGTTAAATGGTACTGACGGTTACCATAACTATGCTTACTCCTCAGATGACTGTGAATCTGAAATGTTTACAATGAATATTCTTTTCTTTTTGAGACAGAGTCTCACTCTGTCTCCCAGGCTGGAGTGCAGTGGTGCAATCTCAGCTCACTGCAACCTCTGCCTCCAGGGTTCAAGCAATTCTTGTGCCTCAGGGTAAGTAGCTGGGACTATAGGCATGTGCCACCATGGCCAGCTAATTTTTTTTTTTTTTTTTTTTCTTAGTAGAGACGGGGTGTCGCCATGTTGGCTAGGCTCGTCTCAAACTCCTGGCCTCAAATGATCAAGTGATCAGCCTGCCTCAGCCTCTCAAAGTGCTGGGATTATAAGGGTGAACCACCACACCTGGCCTACAATGAATATTCTAATGAGGACTAAAATGAGGTTCAGTGTTAATAAGGGTAAGATTCATGTGACCCAATCAAGCTTTTCTTGTATCTAGACATGGTTTCCAAGTATCTGGACAAATAGCATTCCCCAAATACATAATGCAATTAAGTTATAATACAGCTGCCTGTTTATAAACAAGAGGAAGCATTTATTATAAAACATACCTGGCTGGGTGTGGTGGCTCACGCCTGTAATCCCAGCACTTTGGGAGGCTGAGGTGGGTGGATCACCTGAGTTCAGGAGTTGGAGACCAGCCTGATCAACATGGTGAAAACCCATCTCTACTAAATACAAAAAAATGGCCGGGTGTGGTGGTGTATACGTGTAATCCCAGCTACTTGGAAGGCTGAGGCAGGAGAACTGCTTGAACCCAAGAGGTGGAGGTTGCAGTAAGCTGAGATTGTGCTATTGCACTCCAGCCTGGGCAACAAGAGCAAAACTCCATCTCAAAACAAAACAAAACAAAACAAAACAAAACAAAACAAAACACTATAGTTATACAGATCAATAAAAATGTGCTTTTGTGTTTTTATCTTCTCAGGGCTTATGGGGATACGTCTATGAAATATATGTCTCCCAGGAAAATAAGCTCTTAGGAAGAGCTGTCACTCACTAGTATGGTGCCACATGAAAGACAGACGGCACTCAAAGTCAAGGCCTGTGGGAGAGCTAAATGCCTACTGAGGTCAGTCAAAGAAATGCTCACTAAACATTCACCATTTAGAATGGCCACAGCCAGAGTGGTTATGATGCAAACTACTGGTGGATGCTATCAATAAATGCTCCAAAAGCAGAATATCATACACTCAGAATGGGAGTTTTTTTCCTCAGATACTGTTATAGCTCAGATGTTACTATAATTAAATAAAACATCAACGAGAGGTAAAGTAACACACTATTTAAAGAAAGAAATGTAACAAGAAGATTGAGAAAACCCCCAATTCACTATATGACTGGATAGTTCCATTAAAAATGTTTCCTTTTTCCCCTAATTCATAGATTAGGATTATTACTGGAGATTTAACAGGCACAGATAGGCCAGATCTTTGTAACACTCCACCTCTGCCTATCAAAAACAACATTTTAGGGTGAGGTGCCACGAAACCTGGCAGGGAACAAAGCTTGCTTACTATGGAAAGTGCAAAGACATGACATCTTAAGAATTTTGCTTAAAGCTCACAAAATGTTTTTTCACTAAATTAGATTTTCATTTATACAACCTACCACCCAAAGATGCTTTATTGTTACAGCTAGGAAAACACACAAAAGACAAATCTTCATAATTAAAACACATGTATAATGTTTTAATCTTATTTTAAATAAAATTATGAATCATTAAATCTGCCTAATTCTTTTTGTTGTCAATTATAATTCTTCCCCTAAAGGTACTTTATAGGTTTCACTCAACTTCTGGCCTTGTTTTACAGGCAAACTCCAGGGTCCTGGTTTATTACCTTTAAAAACAGAATTAGAGGGGAGTCGATCCAAGATGGTTGAATAGATACAACTCCAGCGCACAACTCCCAGCGAGAGAGACGCAGAAATCCAGAGATGTCCTAGCTCCAACCGAGGTACCAGGTGCATTTCAACAGGTCTGGTCCGATGGACAGCAAAGATCATTCAGGGCAGACCGAGGTGGGGAGGGGTGCTGCTTCACCCAGAAAGTGCATCTGACCGGCAAGTCAGAGGCTGTCACCTTAACACTAAAATTAACTCCAGATGGATTAAAGATTTAAACATAAAATCTAATACCATAAAAACATTAGAGGAAAACGTAGGCAAAACCATCCAGGACATAGGCATAGGCAAGGACTTCATAACTAAAACACCAAAAGCATTGGCAATAAAAGCCAAGAGAGACAAATGGGATCTAATTAAAATTCAGAGCTTCTGTACAGCAAAAGAAACCATCATTAGAGCGAATTGGCAACCAACAGAATGAGAAAAAATTTTTGCAATCTACCCATCTGACAAAGGGATAATAACCAGAATCTACAAATAACTAAAACAGATATACAATAAAAAAAACAATCCCATTCAAAAGTGGGCAAAGAATATGAACAGACACTTTTCAAAAGAAGACATATATGAGGCCAACAAACATATGAAAAAATGTTCATCATCACTGGTCATTAGAGAAATGCAAATCAAAACCACATTGAGATATCATCTCATACCAGTTAGAATGGTGGTAATTAAAAAATCTGGAGACAGCAGATGCTGAAGAGGATGTGGAGAAATAGGAACACTCTTACACAGTTGGTGGGAGTGTAAATTAGTTCAACCACTGTGGAAGACAGTGTGGCGATTTCTCAAGGATCTAGAAATAGAAATTCCATTTTACCCAGCAATCCTATTACTGGGCATATACCCAAAGAACTATAAATCTTTCTACCATAAAGACACATGCACATGTATGTTCATTGCAGCTCTGTGTACAATAGCAAAGACCTGGAACCAACCCAAATGCCCATCAATGATAGACTGGACAAAGAAAATGTGGTACATATACACCATGGAATACTATGCAGCCATAAAAAACAATGAGTTCGTGTCATTTGTAGGGACTTGGATGAATCTGGAAACCATCATTCTCAGCAAACTGACACAAGAACAGAAAACCAAACACCGCATGTTCTCACTCGCAGGTGGGTGTTGAACAACAAGAACACATGGACTTTGGGAGAGAAGCATCACACACTGGGGGCAGTTGGGGTGGGTAGGGGAGAGACAGTGGGCGGTGGGGAGGCATAACATGGGGAGAAATGCCAGATACAGTATGCACCTAAAGTTAAATAAATTAAAAAAAAATAGAATTCGAGAGAAAAGACTAATAAAAGGAACCAAGCACTGTAGCAAACTGGATACACATTCTCACCTTCCTCTGGTGGCTTTCTGTAGAACCTTCATTCCCACCAGGCTGCAACACTTCCCTTCCAACTGTCTTGCCTTCGACATGGTGAACTCCAAGTGTACTTCACCGAACATTCCACAGGCATCTTGTACTAGAAGGCAGATTCTGTAAAAAAGCGTTCACATTTGTTCTTTGAGGAGGCAGTTTGGATTAATACAGAGATCAAGACTTCCCTCTTCTTCATTAGAAAACCACTATATACTGCGGTGACTGGTCAACATAATTTAAATAAATTAAAGAAAAACCAAGAAAAAAAAAGATATCCACTGTAGTGATCTTCTTAAGTGGGTTAGTCAGGATAAAAAAAGTTGGATTCAAGACATGCTTTCTGCACGTGTGCAGGCAGGTGTTTGAACTACCATTCATAGGCATGAAACTAAAACCTAAGTCAAATATGGCTGAAAAATACATTAAGATGATAATTTTTTTAAACCAACTATATTACCTAGATACAGAGTGTCCTTTTCTCATTTTTTACCCTGTTTCCCATGAAAGAAATATTTGTTTTGTGTGGATGCTCAATACTAAGGAAAGCTGCAGGATAACATTATGATGAGAACAACAATAAGAGGCTTTCTCTGAGACACTACGCATTTTAGAGACATGCATATCCCAGCAGGATAAAACCTAGTGTCCCAGCTTGCAGCAACACCGCCATGATGGAGAGGCCAGTGACACAATGGGATTCCCTCTAGTTTTTAAGTTCAGAAGATGGTTTACATAAAAGCCTATTTATGACTGAATTTCTAATCCTCTCATTTTATAACTGAGGTAAATGAAGTCTTATTTATCACAAAATGACACATTCTCAGAAAACATTTCATGGAGCCTGAAGAAATTATAGTCAGTAAATAACATCACAAAATGGACATGAAAACTATTCTAAAGATAAGAATGTAAAGAAAAGTACATGTTAGAAGAGAACGGATGAAGCCAGGAGCCTTAAGTGCTGCCTTGGCAAAAGGGTCAAGAATTGTAGACTTCTTAATGACGTCTTCCAGGCCCACAGGGCCCGGTGGATTGCAAGAGAAGCAAAAATATATCCTGTCTGAAAGAAAGCATATTTACTTGGATTGCTAGTTCACCACGGAGTAAGGCCAAACAAAGATATGCTCAAATAAAAATCAAACACAAAGAAACAAACTGTCATGTGGGAATAGTCCAAAGAAATAACAACAGACCTGCTAAGGGCTTGAGATATTAGAATTAACAGATAGAAAATATAGAATAACTGTTTTAAAAAGGTTAAAAGTCCCCAAAATATGGATAAGAGACAAGAAACTACATAAAATGACTTGATAGATTTGAGGAAGGATGAAACTACATTTTCAAAAATGAAAGCTACATTTGTTGAAACAAAAATATTCATTGAGTAGGTGTAACAAATGGCTATATGCATCTGAAGAGTGTATATATGATATCTAAGGTATAAATCTAAATAAATTACCTAAAATATAGCTTGAGAGCTAAGAAGAAAGAAACATGAGAGAAGGTGCAGAAATAGAGTAAAGTGAGAAGGTCCAACATGTGTCTAATAGGAATTTCAGAAAAACAAGACAGAGGAAGGGAAGCAATAATATGTAGATATAGTAACTGAGAAATTTTCCCAACTGATCTAAGATACAGGAAGAAAAACAAATACCAAGTAGGGCTGGCCATAGTGGCTCACACCTGTAATCCCAGCCCTTTGGGAGGCTGAGGTGGGAGGATCACTTGAACTGAGGGGTTCAAGACCAGGCTGGACAATGTAGTGAGATTTTGTGTCTAGGAAAAATAAAAAAAAGTTAGCTGGGTGTGGTGGTACATGCCCATAGTCCCAAATACTTCAGGGGCTGAGGTGGGAGGATTACTTGAGCCCAGGAGGTTGAAGCTGCAGTGAGCTGTGATCATGTCACTGTGCTCTAGCCTGGGCAACAGACCAAGAACCTTTCTCAAAAACAAAAACAAAGGGAGAAACAAACAAACAAACAAACACCAAGCAGAACAACTAAATGGAAATCCAACTAACATACTCACTGTAATGAAACTAGAGAATATAAAAGACTATGAGTTGTTAAAAGCAAGAAGTACACAAATAAGATTTTAAAAGCACACCCAATGAGAAGATTTAGAAGACAGCACATCTGCAAAGGAATACAAATTTGACTTAAATCAACCTTCTAAAGAGCAATGAATGAAGCCAGAAGACTGGATTATTTTCAGAATTCTGAAAGCCATCTCAGAATGATATCAGCAAAACTCCTTTCAAGAATGATGGCAAATTAAGGACTTTAAAAAAAAATATTTACTTATTTATTTATGAGATGGAGTCTCACTCTGCCACCCAGGCTGGAGTGCAGTGGTGCAATCTCGGCTCACTGCAACCTCCACCTTCTGGGTTCAAGCGATTCTCCTGCCTCAGGCTCCTGAATAGCTGGGATTACAGGTGCCCCCCACCCCAAACCATAGCTGGCTAATTTTTGTATTTTTAGTAGAGACAGGGTTTCTCCATGTTGGCCAGGCTGGTTTCGAACTCCTGGTCTAAAGTGATCCACCCACTTCAGAAAGTGATCCACCCACCTACACTCCCAAAGTGTCAGGATTATAGGTGTGAGCCACCAGCACTGGCCTGGGACATTTTTAGACAAAGAAAAACTAGGAGGATTTTCTACCTACAGAACCTGAAGTATTTACTAATTACTAAAATGATTTCTAGACCAGGTACAGTGTTTGACACCTGTAATCCCAGCACTTTGGGGGGCTGCGGCAGGAGGATTACTTGAGCCCAGGTGTTTGAGATCAGCCTGGGCAACAAAGTGAGACCCTGTTTTTACAAAAAATAAAAAATTTAGTCAGGTGTGGTGGTGCATGCCTGTCGTCTCAGCTACTCATGAGGCTGAGATGGGAGGATCCCTTGAGCCCAAAAGTTTGGGGATTGCAGTGAGCTATGATTGTGCCACTGCACTCCAGCCTGGGTGGCAGAGTGAGACCCTGTCTCAAAAAACAAAATGATTTCTAAATTATGTACTTTAGGAATAAGGAAATTATCGTGGAATAAAGGTCTGAGATACAGGAAGAACTAATCAGCAAAAATACAAACAAACCCAAAATAAGTATAGTGGGATAGAATAACAACATAATCAGTAATATTAAATGTGTAGAGAGTTGAAAAACTGAAAATGGATAACAAGGAAATCAAACGGGGGGTGACTGGAGCTCAAGTGTTCTGAAGTCCTTATATCACTCTAAGCCTGGAGTTAAGATATTAACTTAAGAATAGTATATGTGATACCATTTCAAGGATAATCACCAAAGAACAGAAACAGGGAATATAACCTTCTAATCACTAGAGAAAAAAATAAAATGAGAAATATAGGAAAACAAACAAAAAAGGAAAACATAAATAAAACAAATTTAATAGCCAAAAAAAAAATTAACATGATAAGTGAAAGGGTAAACAAAAGTCCTTGCATATTAGAAATGGAACAAAAATGATTTAAACATGTCAAAGACAGAATCTGTCATGTTGTTTGAAGGTAATAAAAATGTCTTCCAATAAACTGGTAACAGAAGTACAGAAAGATTCAAAGTGAAAAGACAGGAAAAATGTTTCTGACAAAATTTTTTTAGTTTTAATTAAGTTCTGAGATACATGTGCAGAACGTGCAGGTTTGTTACATAGGTGTATACATGTGCCATGGTGGTTTGCTGCACACATCAACCTGTCATCTACATTAGGCATTTCTTCTAATGCTGTCCCTCCCTTAGCCCCTAGGTCCCAGTGTATGATGTTCCCCTTCCTGTGTCCATGTGTTCTATTGTTCAACTCCCACTTATAAGTGAGAACATGCAGTGTTTGATTTTCTGTTCTTGTGTCAGTTAGCTGAGAATGACAGTTTCCAGCTTCATCCATGTCCCTGCAAAGGACATGAACTCATCATTTTTTATGGCTGCATAGTATTCCATGGTGTACATGTGCCACATTTTCTTTATCCAGTCTATCATTGACAGGCATTTGGATTGGTTCCAGGTCTTTGTTATTGTAAACAGTGCTGCAATAAACATACGTGTGCATATGTCTTTATAGTAGAATGATTTATAATCCTTTGGGTATATACCCAGTAATGGGATTGCTGGATCAAACGGTATTTCTGGTTCTAGATCCTTGAGGAATTGCCACAATGTCTTCCACAATGGTTGAACTAATTTACACTCCCATGAACACTGTAAAAGCGTTTCTATTTCTCCACATCCTCTCCAGCATTTGTTGTTTCCTGACTTTTTTTTTTTTTTTTTTTTTGAGACAGAGTCTTGCTCTGTTGCCAGGCGCCAGGCTGGAGCGTAGTGGTGAGACCACGGCTCACTACAACCTCCACCTCCTGGGTTCAAACAATTCTCCTGCCTCAGCCTCCCGAGTAGCTGGGACTACAGACATGTGCCACAACGCCCAGCTAATTTTTATATTCTAGTAGAGACGAGGTTTCACTATGTTGGCCAGGATGGTCTCGATCTCTACCTCGTGATCTGCCCGCCTTGGCCTCCCAGTTTCCTGACTTTTTAATCATCACTATTTTAACTGGTGTGAGATGGTATCTCATTGTGGTTTTGATTTGCATTTATCTAATGACCATTGATGACAAGCTTTTTTTCATATGTTTGTTGGCTGCATAAATGTCTTCTTTTCAGAAGTGTTTGTCTATATCCTTTGCCTACTTTTTGATCGGGTTTTTTTCTTGTAAATTTGTTTAAGTTCTTTGTAGATTCTGGATACTAGACCTTTGTCAGATGGACAGGTTGCAAAAGTGTTCTCCCATTCTGTAGGTTGCCTGTCCACTCTAGTGATAGTTCCTTTTGCTGTGCAGAAGCTCTTTAGTTTACTTAGGTCCCATTTGTCAGTTTTGTTTTTTGTTGCCACTTCTTTTGGTGGTGTAGCCATGAAGTATTTGCCCATGCCTATGTCCTGAATGGTATTGCCTAGGTTTTCTTCTAGGGTTTTAGGTCTTATGTTTCAGTCTTTAATCCATCTTAATTTTTGTATGAGGTGTAAGGAACAGGTCCAGTTTTTGTTTTCTGCATATGGCTAGCCTGTTTTCCAAATACCATTTATTAAATAGGGAATCCTTTCC